ATCACACATAAATAAAAAACAGCTGCTACTTGATAACATCCGAAAGCATTTCCAAATGTGAAAGCTTTACACTGCGATCCAAGTAAGAATGTATTTAATTTCATAAACCAAAGTTCCAGGAATTTTTTCAGTTGCCATCAGCTTTTCAACTACAATAATGCTCATGAAGTTCATTAATTTAACTACAGATAATTCAGATAAATACATTAACTTCTAAAAAATAATTTAATTCAGCACATTTTGTAAGTTATGAACTTTAGAGCCATTACAGATGATGAGCTAGATAAGTTGTTTGCTGTGTGGGATCACAAAGTTAACATCCAGTGTGAGAAAAACAGGTTTCCTGCATGTGTTATTGCCTCTCTCTCCTCTCTCTCTCTCAAAGTTCAGGACCATAAACAAACTTCTCTCCAGTGAAGTTTGCGGTAGCTCACAATTCACACAGATGGAATATACACACAATATAATTAATCATTTAACAAAACTGCCTCTTCTGCTCTCACTGAGAGAATCGTTCCAGTGATCACTGGTAAAATCTACCTCAGAGTAAAAAGAAAACAAAAATTACTGGGGAAGAGAAAAGGCATTAGTTAAACATGAACTGAAATTATCCTTTAAAGCTAATAGTTTCAGCCCTGAAATGGATTTTAATTTTAAATGTTAGATGCTTAAAAAAAAATTCTCCTCCAAGATCTCCTTAGTAAATTGCCAGTTTAGCAGAAAATTAAACAGGATTTGAAACAACTTTTCCCATGGTAACACATACTGTTAGAAATTAATTATTTACCAATGAAGACAGATTCAAAAATCATCACGTGGATGCTCTTTAACATTAGATTTTGTGTGTATCTTTCAAGATGAAAACAATTTCAGCATCACTGGCGTGTGCTTTAACTATACCCTAGAATTAGTTTGGAGGAAAAACACATCAGGGAAAAGCTGACATGAAAATTAACACAGTAGTTGATCATATCTGAGCAATTTCCCTATTAAACCAAATAAATCATGTCCTCTGTTGGGCTGAAGTCAATCTAATTGATCTGTCTTCTTGCTCTCGGCAGCCCCTTCCTTCCCTCACTTCTCAGAACACAAAAACTAAGTTAAATTTTCTTCACTTTACACACACAAAACCCCCCAGTGTTTCTCCCTCAAATGCTGGTTCAACACTGAAACTTCCAACACACCCTTTTTCCACACCCATCCCTCTGCTTCCTCACGTTCAACACATTTTGCCTGATATTAGCTAAGTCCCTTCCATTTCCTAACCCTCTCCGTTTCTGACTCACACAAGCCTTTGCTCCAGTTCTGGTTTGCAAACTAGAAGTCCAACCCAACACAATCAAAGAATGGTCCAAGTACTGCCTGGCTCACTCTCCCTGCCCGGGACTCCAGGCACCATCACTCCCCTCCTCTCCCCTTTCTGCTGCACGCCCCTGATGCCAATTCCTCACTGGCTCTGGCATTTTCTGCTCACAACCTCAATTACAGCAGGAATTATCCAACTCCCAGTCACCAACACTCCCTAACCACTGGGTGTACAGGAAAATGCTGATGCAAAAGCGAGGTGTGTGTAACGCCGACACTCAGCAGGTCATGAGGGCTTTACTAAGCAACCTGGGAGAGAGATTAAGCATCAGCATGAGCTACTGTTCATTATCAGAAACACAACATCCAGCCTGGATAGACAAACAAAAGCTCAGCGCTAACATGAGCAGACCCATCAAGATATCCATCAATCTGGAGTATTATCACACCTAAAACTATTATTTTCCTTCTAAGTGTTTAACCCGTTCCCTCCTAGACATTCCCTCTGTAAATACACAGAAGGCTGAAAATCAAAACCCCCATCATGCTCTAGGGAGAAAAGGAAGAAAACACCGTGTTTACGCCTCATCCTAAACCCACCCCCAGCACCAAACAGCCTCCAACAGTTGTAGCTTTACACATCAAACGCACGGGTACAGCACCACAAACTCTAGCTTAATGAAAGGTCTTCTCATTTCCATTTTTGTGCCGTTCTAACACAATCTCAGGGAATTCTCAGCATTTTTTAATGACTTTTTCTGAATCAGAAGCTCTCCACTGAAGCTACCTGCATTTTAAAGAGGTTTCTGTCACATAACTACACACACATTTTATATAATTTAGCATTAAAGGGATGGGTCTCTCCCCTCCAGTTGTAACTCCTTTGTATTCCTATTTAGGAATGCCTTGCTTGTTTGACCGAAAATGGAAGTGCCTTTTAGCTATGACACAGTATATATGAAAAACAAATAAAAATTAAGATTAATCTTCCTTCCACTATTGTGGGGAGAGAGAAGAATATGAAGAGATGTAAAACATCTGCTCTGGAGATCATTTTTCCCCCTAACAGCAAAATTCTTTCAGCAATAACTCGTGAAAACAAAGGCTATTAAACTGTAAACTACAAAGACAATCGATTAGAGGCAGTATTCAGCTAAGACAAGTTTTTCAGCGTATCTTTCCATATTTAAATGCCTGGATCTTCTTCAGAAGATATTTCATTCAGGATGTTCATTTTAGGTAAGTGGTAACCACAAACACTTCAGAGGACTAGAACCTAAAATCCTAACATACTCTGCCTGCATTACTTCATTGCCAGAGCTGGGTGAGCATTTTTATTTCAAGGTACTTTGTACCAGGTACGACAAGGAAAACAATTCTAAGTGTGTATCCTAGCAGTTTAAGAATGCACCAAATCTCCTCCTCCTCCTGCTCTGTTTCTCCACGCTACTGGATCCTTTGTAAGCCCTTCCCTGAAGAAGGGCACGGGGGTTTTGTTTTTAAACCTAAAGATTAATCTTCCCTCTTGAAAACAGCTCTAGCCAAAAAGTTCAACTCATGGAAGTAAGACTGCAGCTCTTCAGCCCTGGCCGGCCCAAAAGCCTAAACTGGGCCTTAATTTGAAAGGAGTTAACAGGCATTTACTGCCTAACGAAACATAATTATTACTTAACATGCATTACAGGCTCCGTCTATGTGCTTCTTGCTCACTTATCTTTTTTTGTGTACTCAGCCTCACTGTCAGTGCATCCAAAGAACTTCCCTTTCTTTTCAATCTGAAACCACTACTTTTAGAAAAGCCCTCCTGCCTCCTGAATTCTTTCCCTTTACATTTAAAATGGAGAAATTTGATCTCCTCGTTCCTTCCCTCCAACAACGCGTATCTTTCTGAAAGGGAGAGGCACGCAACAACAGCTCCAGGAGTGTATTGAAAAATACACGGCAGAAGAAATTAAAGCATCAGGATGCAGTACAGGAACATCCCTGTTTCTGCAGACGCTGAAGGAGAGGGAGCACTGTTTAAAATGGTTGGGCTCAAAGGCACATTTACCATCTCTCCGTCTACAGAGATACTCCAGGAAACAAGGGAAGGCTAATTTCATGCAAGAGATCCTCAATCCAGCGTGAGCCCGACATACCAGGAGAAAACCGATCAGCCCCGGGATTAATCCGGCGATGATTGCAGTGTAATCAATGGCAGCGCAGCCCTCCCTGCCCCCTCGATTCCCCCTGCGCCCGAGAGGGGCGGGCACTGCAACACAATCACAGGTTGGAAACGCACGAAAACAAAGTCGGGGCTCTGGCAGCTCCCGAGCGAGGCGGGCGGCCGCGGGGATGGGCTGAGGATCCGCGGCAGGAGGGAGCCGGGCCCCGCGCCACGATCGCGATCCGCGTTCTCCCGGTGCTCCCGGGGAAGCGGCTCGCACGCTGCTCCAGCCCCGGCGCTGCGTGCAACACGGCCGCTCAGAAAAATGCATCACCCCTAAGATCGCAGCCCGTTCGGCCATCAAACCTTTCTATAGAACCACAAACGTAAAGCGTCAATGTGCGAATTAATTCTTTTTTTTTTTTTTTAATTAACGGCAGCCTGTGACCTTTAGATTGCGGGATGCCGCCGTAATTCCGCACCCCGCGCACAGCGAGTGGAACCCCTCCTCGGCGGTAAAGCGGCAATAAAAGGCAAGGCGTTCATTTCCAGGAATTCCTCACTCACTACGGCAGGTTATTGCATACGGCCTCTAAATATTGACAGAGATCAAGCTCCTTCCATGCGGGGAAAGCGAGCGGAGTCCTTCCCAGCCCTGCGAGTGTTTACTACGCAGCTCGCAGCCCTGGCTGCGGCGTCTGAGCGCTGCCCCGCGCTCGGGGGGGACACAAAGGAGGGGCACGGCCCCCTCCGCCGGGCTCGGGGCTGCGGCGCTGCCGACCCGTGTGTACCAGCAGGCAGCCGCCTCCCGGGAAGGAAGGCGGGCATGGCAGGGAGGGAGACGCGCAGCCCCGGGTTGTTAAACGTGCTCGAGGAGCAGACGCGTAACAGTAGGAAAACACGCAGAGCCCCGCGGGCAGGGGCGAGACCCGCTCGGCGCCGCGGCGGGAAACGGCGCGAGCCCCGGGAGCCCCCCTCAGAGCCACGGGCAGGGAGCCCCTCACACCGAGCCCGGTACGAACAGGGAGCCCTCACAACCCCCCCAAGGGCAGGGAGCCCCTCGCACACAGCCCAGACACGCAGGGAAGCCCCTCACGCACAGACACACACGGAGAGGGAGCCCCTCGCACAGGGAACCCCCTCACACACAGAGGGAACCCCTTCACACACACAGGGAACCCTTTCGGCAGCCCCCACACACACACACAGGGAGCCCCTCACACACACACACCCAAACACAGGGAGCCCCTCACGCATCCACACACGCAGCGAGGCCCCCCCATCACCAGCCCACTCACACACATTCATACAGGGACCCCCCCCTCACATACACGCACAACACCCACATAAACACACACACGCACATTCACAGAATAACCCCCCCCACACACACACACAGGAAGCCCCCCACACACACAGGGACCCCCTCACGCCCCCCCAAACACACACAGGCAGCCGCCGCCCTCGCCCCTTCCCCGGCAGCCCCTCACTCAGGGGCTCCCTCACGGCGGGGTCCCTCGCCGCACCCCGGGGCGCGCACTGTACTCACTTTCCCCATTTGTTGGCCACAGACAAAGTGCGGCGAAGACGAGCAGGAACCCCCAGACGACGGCGAGGGACCCTCCTCCAGCGCCAGACTTCATTCCTCTTTCTTTAATTGGACAAAATCCCCCTTTCCGAAAACAAAACAAAGCAAAAAGAAGTCCAAAATTGTTCGCTTTCTTTCCTCTCCCCGTCCTCTAAAAATAACGAGCGGCGGAGGAGCAGCGGGGCAGGGTAAATAAATCCACGTTGCCTCAAGAAATGAAGGGAAAAAAAAAAAAAAAGCCACGACCCTTCGGAGCGGCAAACCGGAGGGTTGTTGAGGTCCCTGGGTGTTGATCTTCCGGAGCAACCACACCAAAAATACACAGATATTCACGATGTATTAACGGCAACAACAACAAGGCATGGAAGCCCCGGGGCGACGCTGTCTCCGGGGCGGCGGGGCGGGCTCGGGGCGGCGGGCGGGGGGCGCCGCCGTCTCCCCTCAGCGCTGGCTGCGGTAGTACATCGTGCACAGGAGCAGCAAACACGAGGCACATCGGGGCTGGCAGTCGGCATCTTCAACCTCCATTTTCAAACACCGCACACACGCACACACACAGAGACACAAAAACTGGGAGGGCCGCGGAGGGAGGGGAAGGGGGGGGGGCGCGACCCAGACAATCCTATTACAAAACAACAACAGCTCCGCCGTCCCCCCGCGCGGGGACGGGGCTGCCCCGGCGGGATCCCCGCGGCTCCGCTCCCCGCTCCGCCGGGGAGGGTGGGGGGGACACCCCACGCACAACCACCACCCACAACAACACCGCCGCCGCCACCACGAGTCCGGCTGCCTGCAGAGGCTCGAAATGCAGAATTTGGGTCGAAAATGAATTAAAAAGGCTTCCCCCCTACTCCTCCTCTTCCTCTCCTCGGCGCGGCTGCCACAAGCTCCTTCTCCAAAAAAAAAAAAAAAAGGAAAAAAAAAAGAAAGAAAAAAAAAAGGAAAAAAAAGCCGAATCCAGGACACACACACAAAGCAGCAGCAGCGGCAGCAGCAGCAGCAGCAGCGGGGCGAGCGGAGCGCTCAGCACCCCGCCTCCTCCCCCCGCAGCTCTCCTCTTCGCATCCCTCCGAGCCGCCTTGCCATCGCGGCGGGGGCGGGGGGGAGGAGGACGACGACAACAACAACAACAACAAAAACCACCCAGCGAATTTGTAAATCCTTTTCCTTTTTTTTTTTTTTTTTTTTTTTCCTTTCCTCCCTTTCCTCCTCTTTTCCCTCCTCCTCTGGGTGCGCGCGCGCTGCGAACCTTCCCCTGGCGCTGCCCAGCCCAAGGCAGGGGGAGGGGGATCCGGGAGAGGTGTGGGGGTGTGGGTGTGTGTATGTGTGTGTGAGTGTGAGCAGGGGGGGCTGCCGGGGGCGAGCAAGGCGATCCGGTTTGCTGAAGGTCAAACCCCAGGAGCTTGTTGCGAAGGGTCTGTAATTCCTCCGGGGAGGGAACGGGGCGGGGAGGGAGACGGGGGGGAAGGGTCTGCTGCTCTGCTGCTCCTCCCGATTAATTCGGAGCTCGCTTGCAGCAGGGTTCGCAGCGCTCTGCTGCCGCGTCTGCCCCCCTCCCCCCCCCAATCCTCCTCCTCCTCCTTCTCCTCCGCGCTGCCTCCCTGTGCACGACGGAGAGTGAGCGCTGGTAAACAAGAGCTCGGCGTCGCTCCGCCGGCGCTTCTCCGCTCTGCGGCCGCGCGGGGATGGGGCACGCGCCCGCCTTCCCCTTCCCTTCCCTTCCCTTCCCTTCCCTTCCCTTCCCTTCCCTTCCCTTCCCTTCCCTTCCCTTCCCTTCCCTTCCCTTCCCTTCCCTTCCCTTCCCTTCCCTTCCCTTCCCTTCCGCGCGCGCTCCCGCTGCCCCCCCCCCGCGGGCTCCCCTCGCCCAGGCGGCGGCGCCGGCGGCGCGCGCGGAGGCGGCGGCGGCGCGAGCGAGCGCCGAGAAAAACCCGGAGCGGAGCGGGACCGGGAAGATGCTGCGCCTCGGGATGCTGCGGGGCCGCCGCTGCTCCTGCCTCTGCCCCGGCCTTCTCTAACGGGGAAACGGGAGAAGGAGAGCTGGTGGATGTGCAGCGAGCATCCTGCAGGGAGGCGGGAGAGCCCACGAGTGAGCCCTGCCAGTGGAAATGCTGCTGTATTCCTGACAAATTAAATAAATAAATAAATAAAACATATAAAAAAGGCAGGGATGGGGTTAGGAGGAAAGAGAAATCCACAGCTGTGATTTTTACATGGCATGTTTATTTATTTACGGCATTTAATGGAAGCTGCTCCTCTGTTTCATACTGAGAGCAGGGCCAAGGGCCAACCCTGGAGTGCTGCTCCCAGAGATGCAGGTCAGGAGCGAAGGACAGGGATGCCAAGGCTTGGCCCAGTGCAGGGGACAAGCCACAGTGGGACACGTCCCCATCCACACTCACCATCCTCCCCTAGCGCGCTCACCGTCCCCATCCAAGCCTCCAACATTGTCACTCCATTTCCCAGCTGTTCACTCGTATCCCTCAATGACATTGGACACCCAGCCCCAAATTATGGGGACTTGGGCTGAGTTGAAGCAGGAGAGGTTTGGGCTTTTCAGAATCAGAAGACGTGGGCCATGTTCCCGCTGTTTCACCGGAGCTCGTAGTAGCCATGCTGCGTGGCATATGGGTGTCCTGAGTAATCACAGATTTGTTGCAATATTTTGGCATGGGGAGATAGCAGAATGATGCTGGAGTATAAGAAAGCAGACATCTGCGAGCATTAGCTATATTCTAGGCTGTTGGTTGTTGGGTTTTTTTTTTTTAAGAAGTACATTAAGAAATTTGCAAATGTCACATTATTAATGCAAATGTCAAAATTAAGTTTTTACATTTAAACCTGAATTCTTCTTTAGCATCTTGTATTACAATATCCTTCAGCGATGCTACCCCATCATTTCCAACAACCTTGTACTGTACATGTTTTTCTTCTTCTGGTTTTTCCATCCATTCTTCTACCGTTTGCCTTGTGAGAATGGTCTTGTGGTCTGAGTTATTCATCAACTCTTGTACCCCTTAGGAAAGATGGAAAGGTTCAGTTCTGTGTCACAGAATTTGAAGGGAGGATCATCACTGAGTACAACAGGGCCAGGATTGCCACACGAGCACACCTATGCAGAATTCTGTCAGTAATTCAAGAATAACTCAAAACTATGTGCAACAACCCTCCCGAGATTCCCTATAGGAAAATCAGGCATTTTCACCTGAAACCATCCTGGACTGCCATGTATGTGTCTATTGTAGATTTTATCAACCACACACAGGCTCTCATGTCCTCAAATTGAACCAGAGAGATCTTCATGTGCCATAAATTTTTACTACTGCTGGGTACAGCTGTGGCTGCTACGGGCGCTGGTTCTGAGCAGAACAAGTGTCCTTTCTGTGCGTGTCATGGCATTGATGCAGCATAAATTGTAATGTCTTATTTACCAATTAATGTATTGTTGTGTAAAGGCAAAGCTGAAGTGGGAACTGCTTGTCTATCCTTCATCATTCTGCTGTCATAAGGAACTTTTATTTTTGTCAAATAGCCTTTCTGTCATTACTTTGGCAAATAGGGTAAGTCATGGACAAGCCCATTATACTGGGTGACATACAGGCAGAGAGCAGAAAGATGTGCTGTGCCCCCAAAGAGCTTCCAGTCTCATATAAGCACAGTCTTACAGGTGTTGTAATGTAGTTTGTTTCTGGAATCGGTTGGATTCTTTTGAAAAGTTTTTTAAAAATTTATCATAACAGCACATTGTTGAACGGGAGGCATTTGCAGTGCTCTCCATCCTCCTCAGCTGCTGATGTGAAATTCATACTTTGTAATTATCCGTCTGGATTCTGCCAGGATGTCTTTACCTTTTATTCTGTGGAGGTATGAGGGAAGAATCCCTTTTACTGTGAATGCCCAGGTGCCCATAGCTCTGTTCTCTTGACCTCTTAAGAGGAGAGCTGTGCACAATGTCCAGCTTTCCTCACGCTTTCCCATGTTCAGCAGCTTCCAATGCCAGCCATACATTTGCACATGCTCAGCTTTAGTGAACCCTTTGAATCAGATCTGGCTGATGTTGGCATCTTTCTCCAGGAGGGCTCCTGTTCTTTTCAGTGGAGATATTTAAATCAGGATTTTTCAACATGTGCAACCACACCATGGTTATATCCTTGACAATGAAAACCTCAAGCACACTGTCCCTGTACCAGTGCAAAATTAAAGTTATAATTTGGACAAATTGAAGTTAATTTTCATAACAATGTGCTTCATGATGAAATCATAAAATGATGGCTTCTCTTCTCTGTCCTGTTGTTTCTACAATCATTCCTCCTCTCTGCTTGCACAAGGCTTTGTGCTCCCCTTTGTCCACTGCTGCTTTGTGGTCCCTGGGATAGATGGACAGAAAGAAACACCTGGTTACACACACACATTTTACCCTCTAGAGCGTGATGCTGAATGCCACCAGCATACCTGTGTCCTGTTTAAAATGCCACTTAAGTGGAAAACTCAGGAAATGTGGCAGTGGGGATGAAACAACATGGTTAAAACAGCCACTGACCCCGGCCTCTCAAAACATGTATCTGCCCAAGGCAAATATCCTCATGCTCAGCCATACTTTTGTTTTAACAGCAGCCTCACCACTGCTTTCTGGGGCCACCACTGGGGAGGAAGAGGCCTCACTCATTCCCCTGCCTCGGTGCTCGGACTCCTTATAGGCTTGACTAGACTTTATTTTGGCTTCTGCAGCACATTCAGGGCAGCCTGACCTCTTTACCAGACGCTCGCTTGTCATAACCTTTATGCATCTGAACATTTTGTATTACCGGCAGAAGGGAGTGCTGAAATTTATTCTCCTGCCTTCTCCAGCCGTGTCAGCTCCCCAGGATGAAGGTCAGCCATCACAGAGCACTGCCTGTGTCTGCTCCAGGGGCTGCTTTTTGGAGGGTCTCTGCAGTTCCTGGCATGGCCCTTACCACGGGCCAGCAGCTGAGAGCACCCACTGCAGGCACCTCATCTGCTCCAGGGGCTGCTGGTGCTGCCAGCTCACCTGGTGCTGCCTCTGCTCCAGGGTGAACGTTCTCCTTGTGGGGAGGTGGGGGCCAGTGAGAGTTCCAGGTGGGAA